TTCAAAGAATATTTGAAGCAGAGAGAGAAACAACTACACCCCAGGAACAATGGAAGAAAATAAAGGTATAATTGAGGAAACACAAAATGAGACAGAGAACACAAACAGCAATCAAAATGACAGCAACCAATACACACCTTCCAATAATAACCTTAAGTATCAATGGATTGAACTCCCCAGTCAAAAGACACAGGCTAAGTGAATAGGCTGAGAAACAAAATTCATCTCTATGTTGTCTGCAAGAAACCCACCTCACCTTCAGGGACAGGCACTACCTTAAGGTAAAAGGATGAAAAGAATATTCCAAGCAAATAGCACTAAGAAACAAGCAGGGGTTGCAATTCTAATATCTGACAAAATATACTTCAAAATAAACCTAATCAGAAGAGACAAAGAAGGTCACTTCATTCTGATCAAAGGAACAATAAAACAAGGAGATATTACAATCATGAACATATATTCACTAAACTCTGGTGCACCCAACTTCATAAAAACAGTACTACAGGACTTTATGACCCAGATTAATCCCAACTCATTAATAGTAGGGGACTTCAGTACCCCATTGATACCATTAGATAGGTCAATAGGACAGAGAATTAACAGAGAGATTCCTGAATTAAACAATACCATAGATCAAATGGACCTAACACACATCTACTGACTATTCCACCCAAGTACCAAAGAATATACTTTCTATTCAGTGCCCCATGAAACCTCCAAAATTGACCATGTACTGGGGCACAAAGCAAACCTCAACAAATACAAAAAGACTGAAATAATTCCATGCATTCTATCAGACCACAATGCAATAAAGCTTAAAATCAATACCAGAAGAATCCCCAGTAACCACATGAACACATGGAGATTAAACAACATACTCCTGAATGATGAATGGGTCAAAGGAGAAATTAAGAAAGAAATAAAAGTATTCTGGAACTAAACGAAAAGAACAATACAATACAACAAAACCTCTGGGACACACTGAAAGCAGTCCTTAGAGGGAAGTTTATAGCTCTAAGTGCCTACATTAAAAAATCGGAAAGATCACAAATAAATGATTTAACATTGCAACTCAAGACACTTGAAAAGCAACAACAAATGAAATGCAAACCTAGAAGATAAGAAGAAATAACAAAAAATTAGAGCAAAAATTAATGAAATAGAAACAAAGAAAACAATACAAAAGAACAAATCCAAGAGCTGGTTCCTTGAGAAGATAAACAAGATTGATAGAGTGCTAGCCCAGTTAACCAAAAGAAAGAAAGAGCACCTCAAAATCAACAAAATCAGAGATGAAAGGGGAAACATCACAAAAAACACCAAAATGATCCAGAACATTATAAGGGAATACTTTAAAAACCTATATGCTACTAAATTTGAACACCTAGAAGAAATGTATGGGTACCAAAAAGCATGGGCAGCGTCAAAGCTGAATTAAGAAGAGAGCAACGGGAGCCCTCCGCGCCTTGACTCCCCCGGCCTCATTTTCCCTTCCATCTCCCCAGCTGTTCTCTGCTCCTGGTTTGGGCCCTGCCCGCCATTCCTGGTCTTGGGTCCCCAGACAGATCTGCATCCAATTCCACTTAATTTATTCAAAAAATAGAAATGGAGGGAGAACTTCCAAATTCCTTTTATGAAGCCAGCACACTCTAATACCAAAGCCAGGTAAAGATACAACCAGAAAAGAAAATTACAGGCCCATATCTTTAATGAACATAGATGCAAAAATTCTCAGCAAAACACTTGCAAACTGCATACAGACACACATCAAAAAGATTATCCACCATGATCAAGTTGGCTTTATCCCAGAGATGCAGGGATGGTTTAATATATGTAACTCACTAAACGTCATAAATCATATAAATGGGCTCAAAGACAAGAACCACATGGTCATCACAATAGATGCAGAGAAGGCCTTTGACAAAATTCAATATGCATTTATGTTCAAAGTCCTAGAGGGAATTGGATTGGAGGGAACATATCTCAACATAATTAAAGCCATATATAACAAGCCCACAGCCAACATTATTCTAAATGGAGAAAAACTGGAAGCATTCCCATTGAATTCAGGAACCAAAGAAGGCTGCCCGCTATCCCCACTTCTCTTTAACATAGTCCTTGAAACTCTGACAAGAGCAATAAGACAAGAGAAGAAAATTAAAGGAGTAATAATTGGAAAAGAAGAGCTCAAATTATCCCTT